TGAGTTGGAGTCTCACTCTGTCGCCCAGACTGGAGTGCAGTGGCCGCTCCCGGCCACCGCAGCCTCGACCTGCTGGGCTCCGGCGATCCTTCCTCCTCAGCCTTCCGAGTAGCCAGAATTACGTGGTGCACGCTACCACGCCCGGCTAATTTTTTGATTTATTGTAGAGATGAGGTCTCACTGCCCAGGCGGGTCTCGAACCCACGGGCTCAGGCAATCCACTCACCTCTGCCTCCCAAAGGTGCGGGATTACAGGCTGAGCCACCGAGCCCGGCCCACATTGCATTTTAATTGTCATGTCTCCTTAGTCTCCTCCAATTTGTGACAGTTCCTCAGTCTTTTCTTGACTTTTATAACAATGGCTGTTTTGGAGAGTACTGTTCAGGTGTTTCATAGAATGTCCCATTATGCTGTTTCCTCAGGATTATATTGAAGTTATTGCCTTTTGGGAAGAGTTCCCTAGAAGTGATGTGATCTTCTCAATGCATCATTTCATAAGGTCCATGATGTCAATATGTCTTATTACTAGTCATGTTAACCATGATCTGTTGGTTAAGGTGGTGTCTGACATGTTATTCACTGTAAAGTTACTATTTTTCCCTTTGTAGTTAATAAGTTTTGGGGGAGATATTTTGAGGCCATTCATTTATCCTGTTTCTCCTTAATCTTTGCTCACTAATCTTAATGTTCATTACTGGGTCTTGCCTACAGCAAGTATCACTGGAGGTGATTCTCCATTTCCTTCCTTTTTTCTACATTTATTAATTGGAATTCTTTGTAGGAAGTATTTTCTCTTCTCTCCCATTTATTTGTTTATTGATTCAGTCATTTATTTGATCATGGGCTTATGAGTATTTATTTTATTCTTTATGACTATTATTATTTATCTTATTGCTGAGATTGTTCCAGCTTTGGCAGGCCCCTATCTTTTTTTTTTTTTTAATATATACACTTCTCCTGGTACCACAAGATACTTATCTTTTATTTTCCCTGCCCTATTCCAGGCATCTTCTATTAGAAGATGGTATTTGACAACCAAGATCTGAGTACTATATGGGTTCGTTGCTATTGTGATGGCACTGCTTCTAGGTCCTCTTAGCATACAGAGCTAGAAAAAAATGTTTATGGATACTAATATATATACATATTATACTAATGTATATATACTCCTCTCTACTTATTTCTATGTCTCTGTGTTTATTTGCATACCTATATATGTGTGTGTGTGTGTGTGTGTGTGTATTTTATTAAAACCATGAATTAATAGTGATCCCTTTTTCTTCAGTCCAACACCACAGGGTTTATTCTATTATTCTCCCTTTGCTTGTTTGTACTGTAACTTTTTTCTTTGACTATAATTATTTGCAATATAATACTTAAATTTTTTTTTTTTTATTTTAAAGATGTGGGGTACAATTCAGGGTTAGATGTACAAATGTTCATTATGCAGGTACTCTTGTTGATGAGGTGTACTCCCCTCCCCTGGCAGATTCCTACTACTGCCAATCCTGCGTTCCCCCTCACCCCCAAGCAGTTTTCCACTACTGCCAATCTTTTTCTTATAGTATTATGATAATTGTTCAAGGTTCACTCATGAGTGAGAACATGTGATACCAGTTCTTTGTTTCTGTGATTGATTGCTCAGTTTTATAGACTCTAAGTCCATCCAGGTTGCTGTGAAGTTCATGATTTTGTCCTTCTTAACGTCTGCATAATATTCCATCGTGTATATGTACCACATTTTTTATATCCAGTTATCTTTCTATGGGCCGCACAGTTGGTTCCATATTCTTGCTATTGTGAACAATGTTGCAGTAAACATAAGTGTGCAGGTATCTTTTTCATAGAATGATTTGAGTTCCTCCAGGTATATTTCCAGTAGGGAGATTGTGGGGTCTATGGAAGGTCGATTTTTAGATCTTTTAGAAATTGCCACACTATTTTCCACAGAGGCTATAGTACTTATTTTTTATCCATATAAAGTTATTTCAGAATTGCTAATCCATATCTCTATGATAAACAAATTTATGAACCAGAATAAAGTATCTATGTTTAATTTTATTAATCCTTAATTTTTTAAAAAATAAAATGATACATACATTTAGTCAAAGCAAGACTAGGGGCAGGAGATAAACATGAAGAATAGACATTATAAAATTCACCAAGTATCCAAGACTCATTCTCCTTTTAGGAACTATTGCCACTCAGGGTCCTAGAATAAAGTAGAGAAAACACAGCTTTTGTAATATTAGAAGACTACATTTGTTTAATGATCTCCAGTGATCCCAGAGGAGCAGGTTATATCCATTTAAAGACTAATTCCAAGAAGGAAATTTATATTAAGATGTTGCAGATGATTTCCCCCTTGTCCGTATTAGTGTCCTCTCCAGTATCCCAATTCTAATTCCTTCCTACATTTACCACATAGCAACCGCATCTTCAAATGCAGAGTAAAAAAAGAATTCCAGGCTGTCCTTCTGCCATTCAGGAGTTATGGGGCTAACACCCCATGATGAACTATGTTACCAATTAAGCCATGGAGATTTCGGACATTTCTAAAGATTCCGCATCCCCTGGGGCTCACTGTTGTTCAGATCTAACAGTATTCCATATGATTAGGGGGGATACATGTTGTGGATTAGCAGAAAAAGAGAATGTAGCTGGGGTTACAGTTGGGGACAACAAGGGAGCAGGCAGTAGTATATTGACAGGGCCAATGCAAGGACCAGTCAGCCATGGGGAAGGACATTACACACTGATAAATAGGCAGAGATAAATACTGAAGGACAGACTGTACATTTTTCTCTTCTTTAGCATAAGTCATCCAAATCTGATTTGAATATTTTACCTTTCTCTCTATATATTCAGACAAGCTCTTTACAAAACCAGCTTGTCTCTCCTTACAATTAAATTGCAATTTTGTTTTGTTTTGTTTTTAAGTTGGGCGCTGTGGCTCATGCCTGTAATCCCAGCACTTTGGGAGGCAGAGGCAAGAGGATTACCTGAGCCCAGGGGTTTGAGACCAGCCTGGGCAACATGGCAAGACCTCATCTCTACAATAAATAAAAAAGTTAGCTGGGCATGGTGGCACAAACTTGTGTTTCCAGCTACTTGGAAGGCTAAAGTGGAAGGACCACCTGAGCCCCGCAAGTCAAGACTACGGTGGCCATGAGTGTGCCACTGCACTCCAACCTTGGCAACAGCATGAGACTCTGACTCTAAATAAATAAGCAAGCACTGAGTTGAGTACGGCAAGCAAATAAACATACATGGAAACGAATGGAAATTCAGGGGTTTCTTAGTACTTACCACATCCTAGGCATTGCATCATTTAATTTTTACCATAACTCTGTGAGCCTATTTTGCAAATGAGGGATTTGGGTTTAATAATGTACCCCAAGTCACATAAAAAGTAAGTACCAGCACCAGAATTTGAACCCAGCTTAATATGACTCTAGAGCCAAGATCTTGACCACTCTTTTATGTCTGTCACTTACCATAAATAAAGGGGAGGGGAAGCTCATTCAAAGATTAAGAACTTCTGATCTAGTAATTGGGTAAAAAATGATCTGGGTTATGACTTCTAAACTGTATTAGCAAAAATTGTTAATACAAATTAATGTATCTAATTAAAAGCCTCTTCATGTTATATGCTGTTTTCCACTAGTTTCTGTGATATTGGAAGTTGCTAAGAAAATAATGCATTTAATAGCCGAGAAGCAAATCAGGAATAGGAAATAAGCAAAATGCAGGGGCCTGTTTCATGTTCCTTGCCATAATTTATCTACATGCTGTGTCTTGTGCATTTTCAGGATTTGGAATACCGTCTAGATCCAAAGACCAAGGAGCTGCCTCACTTACGAAACCCTGACATACTTGTCGGTGAAAATGACCTTACAGCTCTTAGCTATCTTCATGAGCCTGCTGTGCTCCATAATCTCAGAGTTCGCTTTATTGATTCCAAACTTATTTATACATACTGTGGTAAGTATACCTTGCGTTCTGTGTGGCCTTTGAACTCTTTCCTCTAATGGGAATCGTCCTGGAAATACTGTACATGGGGAAAGCAGGCTGTGGTTGGATTTTCTCTTTGAGAAAAAATCACTTATCAAAAAGATTTCTGTTATTGATTAACCAAGTTGCATTTATGCTGAATGAACTCATTTGTGAACTTAACATAATTTTGCTCAAATTGGGTCCATCTTTTGGATTTTTCCCCCCATAGAAGTCATATGTCAGATCTAATGCCAAATTCACCAGTTATTTTCATCTCTTCCCAAAACTGCTACAGGAAGAGTAGATTTCTAAGGACTTATCTTTGAGCAAATTTAAGAAGTTTTTGTTTCTTTTTCTCAATTACTTAGTAGTACAGGACTGACTTGTAATTCCTTTTGCTTATTCCTGCTTGCCTGGGCCCCCACTCATTGCAGTATTTGCTGCCAGAGACCCGGCTTTTCGTCTGTCTCAGAAATGAAGTGTGTGCCTGTGTTTATGTTTGTGTTCCTTCCCCCTTTCCGTGTTTCCTTCTTTTTTCTCAGTGTGTTCTTATCCTGTATTTTCTCCCTCCTTGCTGGCTCTTTTTTCTCCATTGACTTCTCTTTTTTCCACTAACAACTCTCTCCTCTGAAGCTCAGATCTTGATTTCCATTCATTTCCATGTACGTTTATTTGCTTGCCATACTCAACTCAGTGCTTACCATTTCTTCTTTACTCTCCTGTTTTGACAGGAACAGGCACCTTTACTTCCTAAAGGGATTTGCATCCATTATATCCTTAATATTAACTCTTCTTATTCCCAAATAACTGAATATTTCTTTTTCTCAATTTTTATTTTTCTTCAATTTATCTTTTCTTACAATTATATTACCTTTTTATTGAAGTTTTGCCTGGCTGCCCTATCAAAGCATAAGCCCCTCTTTCCCCTCCTTACTATCTTCCTTCCCTGTTTTGTTTTTCTCCTTTTTTTCTTACTATTATCTAATCTGTGACTATGCATATATATTTTTCTTACTTATTTCATTAATTTTCTGAATTTCCAACTAGAATATAAGTTCCATGAGGGTAAAGATTTGTCTTTTTTGCTTTACTGTTGTAAATCTTGCACTTAGAAAAGACTTGACATTTTGTTGGAACCGAATAAGTACTTGCTGAATAGATGGCTTCATTAAATTAATATATACCTACTGAAAAAATTTTAGGACATACAGAAAAGTTTAAAAAAGGAAAAACAATATATATGACTCACCACTGAAAAATAACCTATATTATGTTGACTTATATTCTTTCTATGTGTGTGAGAGCAAGTAAAAGCAAATATAAAACTGGAATCATTCTATACATAATTTTGTGTTACATTTTCTTATGTTTTTTTTTTTTTTTTGAGTTGGAGTCTCACTTGGTTGCCCAGACTGGAGTGCAGTGGCCGCTCCCGGCCACCGCAGCCTCGCCTGCTGTGCTCCGGTGATCCTTCTGCCTCAGCCTTCCGAGTAGCCGGAATTACAGGCACGCGCTACCACGCCCGGCTGATTTTTTTAAAAAAATTTATTGTAGAGATGAGGTGTCGCTGCCCAGGCGGGTCTCGAACCCGCGGGCTCAGGCAATCCACTCACCTCAGCCTCCCAAAGGCGCAGGATTGCAGGCTGAGTCACCAAGCCTGGCTTATGACATTTTAAATCCTTCAAAATCGTGGTTTGTGGTGGTTGCCCACTAATCTGTCATATAGATGTAAAAAAATGTATTCAGCTACTATCCCTTCAGTATATATTTTGTTTGTTTCTATTTTCTCTGTTATGAATAATATTATGATAAACTTCTGTTTAAAAAAACTCTGCGTGAATTTTTGATTATTTCATTTGGATAAATTTCTAGAAGTAGAATTTTTGATAAAATATATGAAAATATTTAAAGTTCTTATGACATTGCCACATTATTTTAAACAACCTAGTCCAGTTTCTAAATAGTATTTTAGTTAGGACTATGTATAATGAGTTTAGAAGCAAAGGCTATGATACATTTTGATCCTTGAATACCATCTAGTTAATATTAGCTTAATATGAACTAAATTGAAATGAAGATTTGTGTTAACTGTGAGTCATGTTTTACCCAGTTTAGCATTAGGACATCACTGACTTGTTTTTCTTGTCCTCCCCTCACCCCCAGGTATAGTTCTAGTAGCTATAAATCCTTATGAACAATTGCCTATTTATGGAGAAGATATTATTAATGCATACAGTGGTCAGAACATGGGTGATATGGATCCACATATCTTTGCAGTAGCTGAAGAAGCTTACAAGCAAATGGCCAGGTTGGTGGAAGCTTTCATTGTTATTTCATGACTCTTATTAGATATAATTTCTTCTTTGGTAAGTCACAGTTTTTTTTTTCAATCACCTTTTTTAGGCTGAAAAAGTCACATAAATTTTAGAGTGAATGGCGAGTTGTAAATAATTACTGAATAAGCAGCCTTGACCAGTTTGTCTCAGATGACTTGGATTATTATTCAATATTAAAATAATCTCACATTTATAAAGGGACACACAGTTTTTAAAAACTGCCTTTGGCATCTCATCACGATCCTGTGACTAGGAAAGGACAGATGCAGATGTTATTTTTTACAGATGAGAGGATTAAAGTTTAGTGGTATTAAGTGACTTGTCCAATGTCACTCAGCTAATGAGTGACAGACAAAAGCTGAAAGGCCTATGAGCTGGGAAAAAAAATCTGTATCCTAGAGAATTAAATCTAAAGGAAAGTGTGAATTTTTTTTTTTTGAAACAGAGTCTCACTGTGTTGCCCACGCTGGACTTAAACTCCTGGGCTCAAGTAATCCTCCTGCCTCAGCCTCCTCAGTAGATGGGACTACAGGCATGTGCCGCTGAGTGGGCAGAAAGTGTGAATTTTAGTGTTAGTATTATATGGTAGAGCATTAATTATCCTGAACAGGATCTGCAAAATATCTCCAACATTTTGAGGGTGGAAAATGGAAGAAAAACGCCACCTTCAAGACTAGGTTATACTCTTAATAATATCTTAATAGTATAAGATAATGTAAAACTATGAATACATGGAAGAATAGTATATATTTAACTAATTTATTTAGCCTACAAAGCAGAACTTGACATATTAGAAATATGATATGGGAAACTCTCAAGCAACTTATAAAGTGGAGAGAAAATTAATGCTGCAGAGGTATTCTCCTCTCCAGACAACGAGAGTGTACATAATTGGGCCACCACATGACAGAATTTTAGAATTACTGGAACCATTTCCCCTGAAAACTGGAAGAACACAAGGATGCCCACTCTCACCCCTCCTGTTCAATATAGTATTGGAAGTCCTGGCTCGAGCAATCAGAGAAGAGAAGGCAATCAGGGGTATCCAAACAGGAAAAGAAGAAGTCAAGTTATCTCTCTTTGCAGACAATATGATTGTGTACCTTAAAAACCCAAGAGAATCTGCCAAAAACCTCCTTACACTGGTAAAGGCCTTTGGCAAAGTCTCAGGATACAAAATAAATGTGCAAAAGACAATCACATTTCTTTACACCAATAATGAGCAAACAGAAACCCAAATAAAAACCACAATTCCATTCATAATAGCCACAAAAAAAATGAAATACCTTGGCATCTTCCTAACCAGAGACGTGAAAGACCTTTACATGAAACTACAAACACTGCTCAAGAATCAAGATGACACAA